AATATGAGGTTTGATCTCAGGGGCCCAAGATGAACTAAATGTAACTGGTTAAACATTCAGTGCTTGAAGTACTACAACTTGAAGACAAGGTAAAATGAAAAAAATCCTAACAGGAAAAGTCTTGGGGCGGGGTGGGGGGGGTGGATAGGCATGGTACTACACACTTTTAATCCCAGCACTCAGGAGGCAGAGGCAGGGTCAAGTGGGTCTCCGTGAGTTTGAGACCAGCCTTGTCTACATTGAGTTCCAGCCCAGCCAGGATTATTCAGTGAGAATCTGTATCAAAAAAAATTTCTTCCGGGCATGGTGGTGCACGCCTTTAATCTCTGTGAGTTCAAGCCCAGCCTGGTCTACATAGTGAGTTCCAGGCCAGCTGAGGCTACAGGGAGACCCTGTCTCAAAAAGACCAAAAAGAAAATTTTTTTTTCTTTAAAGTCCCACTCAGGGGCTGGAGAGATGGTGCAGCAGTTAAGAGCACCAGGTGTTCTTGCAGAGGGCCAAAGTTCAGTTCCCAGCACCCACGTGGAGGCTCACAAACACCTAAAATTCTTGTTCCTGGGGAATTGTACATCTGCTTCTCACCTCTGCAGGCATTGTATACATGTGGTACACTTCGTGCAGGCAAAGCACTCATATACATAAATTCTTTTTTTGTTGTTGTTGTTGTCTTTTTTGAGATAGGATCTCCCTGTAGCCCCAGCTGTCCTGGAGCTCACTATGTAGACCAGGCTGGGCTTGAACTCACAGAGATCCACCTGCCTCTGCCTCCTGAGTGCTGGGATTAAAGGTGTGCACCACCATGCCCAGCTCCTATACATAAAATCTTAAAGAACAGATCTTTTTTTTTAAGTCATACACAAGGAACTGGAGAGACAGCTCCACAGTTAAGAGCAATTGCTCTTACAGAAGACCAGAGTTCAGTTCCCAGCACCCACATTGGGTGGCCCCAAATCACTTTTAACTCTAGCTGCAAGGGATTGATGCCCTCTTCTGGCATCTGTGGGCAACTGCACTCATGCACATATATACACAGAGACACATAAATAAAAAACCAAAAATGCTGGGTGTGATGGGGCACACCTTTTATCTCAGCACTTGGGAAGCAGAGCAGGAGGATCTCTGTGAGTTTGAGGCCAGCCTGGTCTACATAGTGAGTTCCAGGCCAGCTGGGGCTGCAGTGAGACCCTGTCTCAAAAAGACAAAAAAATAAAAAATATAATACACATCTCCACTGATTCATAAACCCAAACTGCACTACAGTACTCTTTTGCTTCCTACTATCTTAAACAAAAAGGTTTCTGTTTCTCATCTCTGTCCCCAATGTCAGCATAATGCCTGGTCTGGATGCCTGGGCTGAGCTCTTGGCCCAGGTGCTGATTTTAAATAGCTCTGCCTGATATGCAGATGGTGGCAGGAAAGGAGGGGGCCGCTCTCTGGAAGCAGGGCGAAGAAAAGAGGGCTGGAGAGTAAAGAGTCAAGGACACATCTCCTTCAGGCCTGGCGAGCTGTTCCAGTACCCAGGTCTTTAAGAAGACGTTGATGATGAACACAGAAACCCACATCTTGCCAATGTGCAGAGAACAAGAGGCTGCAGAACACTCACCCTTGAACAGGACTCCTCTATCAAACCTTTGCCTCCCAAGGCTCAGGGATCATTGTGGAAGAAGAGGCAGAAAGATTGTAAAAGCCAGAGAAGTTAGATGACCACAAGGAAACCAAGTTTTCCAGGCAGCTGGTCAGGTACTCACAGGAACTCACAGCAATGGTGACGGCATGCACAAGTCCCATGCCAGCTCACACCAGACAAAATCCCAGCATGAACATGGGGATGTCGGGCGTGGTGGCGCGCGCCTTTAATCCCAGCACTTGTGAGGCAGAGGCAGGTGGATCTTTGTGAGTTCGAGGCCGGCCTGGTCTACATAGTGAGTTCCAGGACAGCTGGGGCTACAAGGAGACCCTGTCTCAAAAAGACAAAAAAAGAAAACCCAACCTAAACAACTAACGGCAACTGATGGCTGCTGGAAAGGGGAGAGTCAGTCTCGTTTAAGGGAGAGACTCTGGTAGGTTGACCAGGCTCCAGTGGATGGACCCACACCGAAGGGCATTTGGGGAACACAAACCTGACTCTATAGGCAGATGATAGATGATACATAGATAGATAGATAGATAGATAGATAGATAGATAGATAGATAGATAGACAGATGATAGAGAATAGGACACATGGTGGGGCTAGTAAGGGGACACAGATATGGGAGGAGACCTAACTATAAACAAAATATATTGTAAGAAATTTGGAAAAATTCAATCAGAAAAAGAAAGAAAAGGCCATCTGAAAGAGCCTCCAGCAGGGGTTATTTCTGCAGGAGCAGCAGCAACAGTGTCATCTTCAGGGCAGCCTGATGAACTCGGCCAGGAAAACACACAAAGCTGGAAATTTGACCCTGACCTCAGAACTCAGGGCAGTGGAGATGGTCAACTGCCCCTGGCCTCTGCTCTACCGGAAACTGCAGGTGCTGTGCTCAGTACAAGCCACCTCACAGGAAGCCTCTGGCCCCACTAACTGACTGATTCGTGGGCACACTCCAGGTACTGTTGGAAAGGCTTCAGCTACTAATACAGAGCTGGAAGCTTGAGGAACGTGTGTCAGGGTCCTGCAAAAGCCTAGGGTCACGGTTCTGGTTTTTGAAGAAATGAAACTGCTCTTCTGTCTCACCTGCCAACCTGCTCCGCATGGCTGTCCTAGTGTCTCATGTCTTCTCCTAAGACTCAGAATCCAGCAATTCCTGGTCAAGAAACATAGCAAAATCATCCCATTTCCCAAGGGATTTGGATGAAAACTGGTAAAATCAGGTACAAATCCAAGAGAAGACACTGGAGGGAGCCAAGCTGGGTCTGTGAGGGGTCACACAGAAGGCGTAACTGACAGTGTAAGCTGAATTGTGGTCCTCCATTGGTCCTAGGGGAAGGAGCTGAAAGGCGTTAACCTGAAGATTTGGTCACATTTAACTAGGAATCTGATTTGCTTTTTATCTGCTCTACTGGGCTAACTGATGGGTTCAGTAATAAATATGTAGAACATTTTGAGGAAAAAATGAAATTTATCAACATTGGACAGCCCTCCCTGCCAGCACTGGGCCTCACTCAAAGCCCCAGGCACTTGTGGCTTGCTGGCCAGTCCCACGTCCCAGGCAGTTGCAAGGAGTCCTGGAAAACATCTTGTCCCAAACAACGGAGTCTGCCCATGATGAGCCGAACACCAATCACCCTGGCCAGCCAAACAGGACTTTAGAGGACTGCAAACCGCAGCTTCGCCACCAGGGGGCGCTCTGTGTTTAAGAACACTGACAAAGTAGAAAAGAGAGGGAGCCAGCGGTAAAAAAAAAAAAAATATCCAAGTCCTGTGGCTTATGAGCCACGTGACCTGGGCAGGTAAATAAAAGTTCCGTGGGCTTGTCATGCATAGCATGGGAACACTGTTCCTACCTATTCTGCAGAGCTCTGATGAGACGGGTTTGTGGACAGGCTTTGAAAAACTGTACTGATTTTGTAAATCCATCTGCCTCTCGTGGTTGGGGGTAAAAATACACTGTAAGGCTAACCATGACATGAACCAAAATGTCGGAAATAAATGGTTTATTTACAGATGTTAACCCATTGCTGTCTGGGACTTGCCACAAAATAATGTGATGGATGGGAGAGGAAACCGAAGCAAGGGCCTTGTACTGTGGCGTATGGCTGGTGAGCACAGTGGACCGTTTTCTCTCATTGATGTGTTGAAGTCTTCCACAGTAAACGCTTGCAAAACAAAGGATGGTGAACTGACTTAGAAGAAACAGGCCAGAATTTAATTTTTAACTCTTAAAAAGCCATTATAGGCCAGGTGTAGTGGCCCATGCCTTTGATCCCAGCACTTGGGAGGCAGAGGCAGGCAGATTTCCATGAGTTCAGTTCAAAGCCAGCCTGGTCTACATAGCAAGTTCCATGACAGCTAGGGCTGCAGGGAAACCCTGTCTCAAAAAGACAAAAAAAAAAAAAAAAAAAAAAAAAAAAGGTGATTATAGGGGCTGAAGAGATGGCTCAGCCGTTAAGAGCACCGATTTCTCTTGCAGAGGACCTGGGTTCAGTCCCAGCAGCCTCACGGTAGCTATTAATGATCTTAACTCCATCCAGCTCGAGGGGATCCGACGCCCTCTTCTAGCCTCCGAACGCACTGCATGACACGGGTGCACTTTCATGCAGGCAAAACACTTATATACATAAAATTAAATAATTTTTAAAAACCCCACAAATTAAAATGGACAACCAAAAGAACTAACCAACAGAAAGGCGGGGCGGCACAAAGACTGAACAAGCGCTTTAAGGGCCTACCAAGGAGGCCTCTTTTCAATGAACTTTTTCTAAAACTGCATTTAACCCTCGACCCTAAAAGGTAACGAGCAGTCAGTCCACTGTCCCCGGGGCTGCGCGCAAGGCCGGCGCGTCAACCAGACCTCGGAGCAGAGCCTGGCGGCTGCGGTCCGACACAAAGCCGACCTCTATGTCCATACTCCAGCTCCGAAGGGACAGAAGACTGGGAGGGTCGCCAGGCCTGCCGGGCTTCGATGTGACACGACGGGGGCCGGGCCACCATAAGGTTGTGACCCGCAAGTTCCCGGCGAGACTTGCGACCTTGCTTAACCATCTTCAAGAAAATTAGTGCTCTGGGCCGGCGAGGTGGCTCGGCGGGTAAAGGCGCCTGCAGCCAAGCCTGACTCCGGCAACTTGTCCTCCGACTCCCACATACATGTCGTCACACACACACAATACACACGCACGCATGCACGCTCAACCAAGCAACCAAGCAATAAAAATGCAATACATTTCTTTTTCTAAGGAATCAGGCGCGGAAGGCCCCCCACTACCCAGCGACTGCCCAGTGGCTCCACCCGAAACAAACACGGCTTCCCAACCGGGACGGACGTACTTCCGCCCCCATCCAAGATGGCGGCGAGGCGGGGCGGGGCTGGCGGGCGGAAGTGGCCGCCAGACGACTGGCGGTGCACCATGGCGGCCACCGCCGCCTCCCCGGCGCTGAAGCGCCTGGATCTGCGTGACCCCGCCGCACTTTTCGAGACTTATGGGGCGGAGGAGATCCGCGGGCTGGAGCGCCAGGTCCGGGCCGAGATCGAGCACAAGAAGGAGGAGCTGCGGCAGATGGTGGGCGAGCGGTACCGCGACCTGATCGAGGCGGCGGACACCATCGGCCAGATGCGCCGCTGCGCCGAGGGGCTGGTGGACGCCGTGAAAGCCACTGACCAGTACTGCGCCCGCCTCCGCCAGGCCGGTTCGGTCGCGCCCCGGGCTCCGCGGGCCCCGCAGGTTAGTCGGGGCCGCGAACCCGCCACGTCCCCGCCGTACCCCTCACCTGCCGCGGGCCGCGGATCTCCTCCCCGGGTGCTGGTTCGGCTCCTGGAGTCGGTCGGCCTCTTCGGAGCCTGCCCGGACTTCCGTTCGCCTCTTTGCCTCCCGCGGGTTCCCAGCGCCCTCCTCCCCGCGGTAACCGGCGACGCCAGGGATCTCCGATCGTGCAGCTCTCGCTCGCCAGCGCAGGGTCCTGACGCGCCTTCCCCGGGAACCGAGTCCTCCCTCCGTTCACGCCTTCCCTTCCAGCCTTTCATTCTCCAGCCCACCCCGCCCCGGGCCTTTGCGGGCTGTGGGAGGGCAGCAGCAGCTGTCAGGTGAAAGCAGCTTTAATGAAGGCGCGTCTAGTTCAGGTCATCCCGTCTTCCTCCCCCGAAACTTTCATGATTAGACTCGATGTGGTCGATGGGGTGTGAAGCACTCCCTGACATTGCAGCCACATCCCGTGTTCCCTAAGGTGTGGGCCTAGGGATGAACAGAGGACGTGGGAGCGAAGTTGGTAAAGCAGTTCCTTTTAACCTGGGAGAACTTACTGTGACAGGAAAGAAGAAATTGCAGTACAAGCTCATTTGGAGCTGGCTACCCGGTTTCACAGCAATCCCCAAAGACCAGAGTGCTACAAAGAACTGTACATAGCAGGCTGGAATCCTTAAACCCCATCCCTCCCCAAGCTGTGTGTTTAGTACAGTCGCCTCCGGAGTGACGGGACTTTGTTGGCTAACTTGAACTGTTCCTTATTTTAGAAATCATTGATTTTCGTAGTTACTACATCTGATGTATTCTCGGTCAGTCCCACAAAATTTGAATGCCTTGTCCGAGTCACAGAGAAACAGAAGCACCCCCCCCCCATTCCTTTTCTGATTACATTCTAGTCAAGGAAATGAACCCATGGGAAGTTGAGTTTCTAAAATGTAGATAATTTAGAATAGTAGTAGAAAATATTTTATGATAAAGGTGATTAACTACCAAAGTAATTGTGTCCATTTAACATAAGAGTTCTGAAAGAAGTCACTTTAGGTTTGGGTCTTGCTCAGTAGACAGCTGCCACTTCGAACATGAGTGTCTCAGTCCAGCTGTGCTGCTATAACAAAATACCTGATACTGGGTAATTCACAAAGAACAGAAATTCATTTTGCCACAGTGCTGGGGCCTGGGAAGTCCAAGATCAGGGTGTTAGCATTTGATGTCTAGTGGGGGCCTACCTGCTGTATCCTCACATGAACATTGGGGAGGAGCACAGGAGAGCCAAAGCTAGCTCCCTCCAACCTGTCTACAGGGTACTAACTGAAGACGGAATCTGGAGGTGGGAGGGTAGGCTGAGATGAGGGCCGGAGACTGAACCGGATGATTTGGTGCTGACCAGCCAGCAGAAAAGGTAGGAAGATGGCAGCTTGTGTAAAGCCTCCCTCCCCTTGCGGCTTTGACACCGAGATGTTGAGGCGTTGGTTTGCAGCAGAACTCAGTGCTGTGCTGAGCGGGGAAGTCTCTCCTAAGGAGCTTCAAATCTTAGCGCTTAGAGTCTCTCAGAGCCTGTAGAAATGGACGAGCTTCCGCCTGCCCTTCTTTCTTCTGCCCCTCCCTCAGCCCCAGCAGCCGTCCCAGACGTTCTACAGCATGGCTGCCCAGATTAAGCTGCTGTCAGAAATCCCTGAGAAGATCTGGAGCGCCATGGAAGCCTCGCAGTTCCTCCAGGCCACGAAGCTCTACCTGCTCTGCTACCACCTTCACAGCCTGCTGCAGCTGGATTCTTCCAGTTCCAGATACAGCCCCATCCTCTCTCGATTTCCCATACTCGTCCGGCAGGTGGCAGCAGCCAGCCACTTCCGGTAAGTGGCCGAGCTCAAAAATCTCGGGAGGTCCGCCCTTAGCGCTGCGGTTTCATGGAGTCTCTTTCCTGATGCTCCAAACACAAGAGCTGCTCGTTGATCCTTGTCGGCATCTTTCTAGGTCAACCATTTTGCACGAAAGCAAGACGTTGCTCAAAGGCCAGGCTGTGTCAGACCAAGCTGTGGCCGAGGGCCTCTGCTCTATAATGCTCCTGGAGGAGAGTTCGCCCCGCCAAGCCCTCACAGACTTCCTGCTGGCCAGAAAGGCAACTATTCAGAAACTTCTCAACCAGCCTCACCATGGTGGGTGTGCTTCTTCCTAAGTCACCATGGGTGGAGCAGGGTGAGCTGAGGGAGCCTGAGACGTCCAGAGTATTCTGGTTTTGGCCCTGCTGGAGGAAATTGCTTAAAAGAGGACGGTTTCTTACAGGTGCCGGCATCAAGGTCCAGATTTGCTCGTTGGTGGAGTTGCTGGCCACCACTCTGAATCAAGCTCATGCCCTTTTCTACACTTTACCAGAGGGTGTGCTGCCAGATCCATCCCTGCCCTGTGGCTTGCTCTTCTCTACCCTGGAGACAATCACAAGCCAGCCTCCTCCTGGTGAGCTCTTAACCAGCCTTTTTCTTGGTTCATCCAACTGATTCTTACCCAACATCTGCTATGTCTCAGCTACTGTGCAGGTCTCTGGGGACAAAACACTGGACAGACACAGACCCTTCCTTGGTGGAGATTCTACTTTAGTTGTAGAGGCGGATGTTGAACCTTCGGATGTGCAGATTCCTATTTGCTGCAGATAGTAACCATTGCTGGGAATGCTGGAAGGATATACCCAAACCAGGGAACGATTTTCTGGGGAATTCTATGAAACTGCATGCCAGAGGTTAAGGAGGAGTTAGATGAGGCAAGAGAATTCCGGCCAAAGGAGGGTGGGTTCAAGGTCCTGAGGCAAGGAGGACATTCGCATATTTTAGGAGCTGAAAACTGCCAGGGAGGGTGAGGCTTAGAGGGTCAAGAGGAGATCAAATAAGAGACTGGAGGCATGGCCAGGGACCAGGTTGTATGACTTGGGAACAGTCATAGGAGGTTGAACATTATCCGGAGATCAGTGAAGAGCCTTCCAGAACCTTGCAGGTTTGGTGTGGTCCTTCTGCTGTATGTTCTGCTGTAGCCCATGCGTCTGTGGAGTAACAGTTTTCCTATAAGTAGTGCTTTTATGTGGCAATGGAGTCCTCTGGGGCAGAGGGATGCTGAGTGCTCAATAGGAGGCGGTCACCATGGTCCAGGGTCTGACAAGGGAGCCATGGAGATAGGGCTAAGTGGACAATTCAGCCATCTGTTGAGGATAATATTGGATGTTGGGTTGGCTATACAACATTTGGGAATGGGAGTGTCCAAGTTAGCTAGAAAGGGAACTGGTTTGGGGCTGGTGATGAAGTCACATTTGCAGAAGTGGCACTGGAGAGCACTGAGACCTTGGAATGGGACTAAGTGAGCAGATGACTTAACACCCAGAGCAGTGAGCGGTCTGTACAGACACACACTGCAGAACACCTGCGTATGGCAGCACATACAGCCGTGAGAATGGATGGCATCATTAAGAAGCAGAAAACAGGGACTGCAAGGTCAGACAACTGTGGTGAGGTGAGCCATGGAGGTAGCAAAGATAGAAAGGAAGGAAGTACAGGATAGTTAAGGCACTGCCCAGCACAGCACAGAGCAGGCCTGTGGGGTGACCAGACGCCCATGATCAGGGCATGTCATCACTAGTCATTCCCTTAGATCTTCAAGGGGTCTAGAATGGCAAGCAAAGGGAAGTGAGTAACTCATGCTTTTTTGACATCTTCAGCTATTTTTAAAATGTCAAGGACTTCCAGGAACTGTGACGTGCACCTGTAATCCTAGCTGCTCAAGAGTCTGACACAGGAGGAGCAGTGTGTCCAGGCCAGACCCACCAAGGACACACACACACACACACACACACCCCACGCATGCACACAGAGCACTCAATCCTTCCTTGTGTTCTTTTTGCCCTCATTCCTTTCCTCCTGGCCATCGCCACTCTTTTCAGCCTGTAAGACAGCAGAGCTTCAAGAATCTGCCCACCCCTGCCTGATGAGGAAGGGCCTGGACACAGGTTTTCCTTATCCCCAGGTTGACCCACCCAGAGGAAAACCAGACTTCTGGAAATTCCCCAAGTCTGTTTTTAATACACTATTCCAAGCTCGGCCTGGGCTCCCCTCACTTGACCATCTCTCTAGGAAAGGGCATCGGAGTCCTGCAGGGGGAGATGAAGCTGTGCAGCTGGTTCAGGCACCTGCCTTCCTCCATCATCAACTTCCGGCCAGTGCTCCGAACTCTCGCACATCCCATCAGCCAGGAGTACCTGAGAGACACACTGCAGAAATGGATTGACATGTAAGGAGCCAGAAAAAGCATCCCTGGCTCAACCTCCGTGAGCCTTAGCCATGGCTGTACCGGTGAGGCATGGGAGAGTCCCAGTCACCTAGGTGATGTGCCATGGCAGCCGCCCACACAGGCCCATCACTACCCTTTCCCCATGTAGCAAATATGGGAGAATCAAGAAGTTATCCTTCCAGAATATTAAATAGAGGCTTTTCTCCTTGTGTTTGAGTTGTGCAGTCACCAAGCTTGATTGCACTGGTTTGAAACCATTCCATGGGGCTCTAAACGTCCCTTTGGCCTCAGGAAAGCAAGAGGCAGGCTGCTTATAGATTCCCTGCCTCCAGCCAGCCAGAAGTGTGCTGTGTGCATAGAAATCTTTGGCAAATGCCCCAAAAAGAAAATAGATAAGATGTAGATACATGTATGTACTGTTAGAGGTTTTCAAATGCAGTCTGAGTTTCCCTTAATAATGATGTGGAAACCATGAATGATCCTGTTACAGGTGTAATGAAGACATTAGAAATGGGATCACCAACCTGCTTGTGTATGTGAAGAGCATGAAAGGTCTCGCAGGGATTCGAGACGCCATATGGGAGTTACTTACCCATGAGTCCACCAACCACAGCTGGGAGGTGGTGTGTGGGAGGCTTCTAGAGAAGCCGCTCTTGCTCTGGGAAGACCTGATGCAGCAGCTCTTCCTGGATCGGTTACAGGTGAGGTGGGAAGTCAACGTGGGCCATTTCACAGCCAGCCTTGGTGTGGTCCTTTGACCATGTTGGGAGGTTTTCCTTCTCTTAGTACTAACCTCTAGATTTAAAGCTAAGAAAGGTACCAGGCCTCTGCCAGGTGGCCAGGCACAAGCCTGTGTCCCTCAGCAACAGTATCTTTGTTCCCTGCTATACCATGTTGACAATATTCTTTCTTTTTCTCATTGCTGTAACTTAAATACCCTATAGAAACAACTTACGGGAGGAAAGCTTTCTTTTGGTCTAGTTCTAGTCAGTCAGTCCATAGTCATTTGGCTGTGTGTTGGGGGCCCTGGGGTAAGGCAGAACATGATGACCAGAACATGTGCTGGAGCCTGTTTATAAACAGGAAGCAGTTACAAGGGGAAGACTGGAATGGGGTAGGACCCTTAGGACACACCCCCAGTAACCTTCAATTAAGCTATAAAAGTTAAAAAGTATAAAGTTTCCACAGCTTCCCAGAGTAGTGCCACCAGCTGGAGACTCAGCACACTGAAGCTGTGTGGGGCATTCCGCAGTCGGCTGTGACACTATCTAAATGTGGTGGAGAGCATTCTGCATGCAGCATAAATTTGCCGTTTTAGCTCATTGGAAATAATGACTAGAGCTTTATGCATTCCCTTTTAGACTCTGACCAAAGAAGGCTTTGAATCCATCTCCAATAGCTCCAAAGAGCTTCTGGTCTCCGCTCTGCAGGAACTTGAGACCAGCAGCTCCACATCAAATAAGCATGTCCACTTTGAACAGAACATGTCTGTCTTCCTCTGGTCTGAGAGTCCCAATGACCTACCTTGTGATGCTGCCTGGGTCAGTGTGGCAAACCGAGGTCAGTTTGCCAATAGTGTCCTCTCTATGAAAGCCCAAGCAATTAGCCCTTGTGTACAGAACTTCTGTTCTGCCCTGGATTCTAAACTGAAGGTTAAACTGGATGACCTCCTGGCCTACCTTCCTTCCAGTGACGTACCACCGCCCAAGGATACCGCCTCCATGCATCAGGCTAAGAGCTCTGCCTTCGACAGATATGCAGATGCTGGGACTGTACAGGACATGCTGCGGACTCACTCCGTGGCCTGCATCAGGTACATTGTGGACTGCATCCAGGTGGAGCTGCAGACCATTGAAGGTGCTGTGCAAGACCAGCAGGATGCCCTTCATGGCACCAAGCTGCACGCAGTCCTCTTCATGGCCAGACTCTGCCAGTCCCTCGGAGAACTCTGCCCCCACTTGAAGCAGTGTATTGTGGGAAAGTCCGGGAGTGCTGAGAAACCTGCGAGGGAGACTCGGGCTCTGAAAAAGCAGGGAAAGGGGAAAGCTCGGGAGATCCTTCCTGTGCAGGCCAAGTGGCAGGAAGTGAAGGAAGGACTTCTCCAGCAGAGTGTGACAGGCTACCGCGTCTGGAGCTCCACTGTTGTGAAAGTGAGTGAGGAGCTTGGGCTCCCCGGAGGCCTCACTTTGATCTTACTGGGGTCTCCCCATCCTCAGGAAGCTCAGAGGGCTAATGCACAACTCAGAGCTGCCTTCTCTGCCATATAGCTTGGGTGTGAACCTTTCTGTTCACTTTTAGCCCACATTTTATAGCAGTTTATTTTCCTCCTACCAGATGAGAATCTGCCTGGCCAGGGATCCATATTTCCTGCTCTTCTGCAGGAACATGATCCCCATGTCCTCCACTGGCCTTTGACCAGGTGACCACTTGCAGTAGTGGGCTGGCTAGCAACCATGTTATTACTGAGAGTGATAATTGCCGGGAGTGGTGCTGGCTGCTTATCCCACCACATGCTGGGCCCAGGCTCACACTGAGTCTTAAACCAATGCTATAAAGGCCCTGAAGAGCTGTGGCTGTTCTCTATTATCAGGCTCTGATTCGTGGGTTCACTCAGTCATTGCTTTTAAGCAATGCTGGCTCCGTCCTGGCCACAGCCACCAACTGGGATGAACTAGAAATTCAGGAGGAAACAGAATCTGGCAGCAGTGTCACATCTAAGATACGCCTCCCAACCCAGGTGAGCTCGTCCTACCATCTTACGGACTTGGGCTGAAAAAGGTCAAGCAGGGCAGTTTTAGAAAATCATTTCAACATACACCTTCTTAGGTGGAGCTGAAATGATTGTGTGTGACCCATGGGGCAGTGTGTGACCCTGTAGGGCAGTGTATGACCCATGTGTGACCGATTGTGTGAAACAATTGTGTGTGACTGATTGTGTGTGACCCATGGGGCAGTGTGTGACCCTGTAGGGCAATGTATGACCCATGTGTGACCGATTGTGTGAAACAATTGTGTGACCCTGTGTGTGACTGATTGTGTGACACGATTGTGTGTGACCCGTGGGGCATTGTGTGACCGTGTGTGACTGATTGTGTGAAACAATTGTGTGTGACCCTGTGAGGCAGTGTGTGACCCCTGTGTGTGACCGATTGTGTGTGACCCTGTGGGGCAGTGTATGACCCCTGTGTGTGACTGATTGTGTGACCGATTGTGTGTGACCCTGTGGGGCAGTGGCTGTGGGAATGCCTCAGTGGTGGAAGCGTGAGAAGTCGGTTGATGATTCTTTCCTTTTTGGAGCGTAAGCTCCATGCTAATTAGAAAAGTGCTTACCACAAAGTGAAAAATAGCTCAAGACACATTGCCATCTGTGGGTCAACCTCAGACCTAATGGGGTTTGCGTCTGTTAAGTGGTCTGCCTGCAGATGTTGGATGCGATAGGTCCAGGTCATAGGTCATAGCCTGCATCCTTTGAGGACTGCATATCACTTACTGGCTGCTGTTAATGTGCTGTTTTGTTCTTTCAGCCGTCCTGGTATGTACAGTCCTTCCTGTTTAGTTTATGCCAGGAAATTAACCGAGTTGGAGGCCATGCCTTGCCAAAGGTGACTCTGCAGGAGATGCTGAAAAGCTGCATGGTTCAAGTAGCAGCTGCCTATGAGAAACTTGAAGAAGAAAAGCAGGTGAAGGTGGGTATCTGAGTGTGTTCCCAAACAGATAACCTTGCCCAGCCCAGGTCCCAGGTTGTATCAGGAGAGACACCCAGTTCTGAAACAGTCATCTGAAGGTTGCAGTTCCGGGGGGGGGGGGGGGGGGGGAATGGAATAAACGTTTTCAAAGCCAAACCAGGCCTGGCTTTTCCACCACAGCTGTCGATTGCTCACTGTAGGCACTAGGCAAATCATTAACCTCTTGGTTTCCTCCAGAGCAAATGTAAGCAATAGATGAGCCAACTGCTCATCCCGGAGCAGGTTTCCTCACCTGTTAAATGCACCCCCTCCATGCCTGCTGCCAGCTGAGCCAGAGGGCTAGAGGACGCTGCAGAATGCAGCTCTGGCATGTGGAGGTTCTCATTAAGGTGTGCGCGAGGTGGCGTCCTTGTCTCTCAGCCTCCACTGCTCTTCTCTAGTGCCTTGGGCCCTGGTTTATAGTCCCATTTCATTAGCTACATTAAAAGGGAAGAATCCAGCTGTCTCCTGGGTCTCAGAGCTCACAGTACCTCTCCTCAGGTAGGAAGCTTGGCCCCTTTGCAGTGGTCCTCCAGCACAGAGGCCCATTAAGAACCGGGTCTTGTCCCTGTTGCCAGGTTTTAAGACCAAGGTTCTGGTTGTAACCTGCCTGTTGGGATTGATCTGGCCCTATGGGTGTAAACACCTTCTGAAACTGTCAAGCTGTAGCCCAAGCAGAACCCATGCTGTCCATCAAGCCTTGTAATGAGATGCCTCTCATCGGGCTGCAATTCACTTACAGAAAGAAGGGGCGTTCCCTATGACCCAGAATCGAGCCCTACAGCTTCTCTACGACCTGCGCTACCTCAGCATCGTTCTGACCAGCAAGGGGGAAGAGGTGAAGAGTGGCCGGAGCAAACCAGACTCCAGGTGTCTATCTTTTCCTCTAAGGTAGCCTCTTCCCAATACAAATAATAGAGTTCCCTACTTCCTAGGATTTTCCATTTTTGCAAAGGTGGGAAAGTATGTGTTCCGTAGAAACCATACTTCAAGTTTGGAGTTTAGATCTTTGTCCAGGCTAGCAGTACAAAGTACAATCTCTCACACTGTACACAGTATGCGTGAGGCACATACCTGGGTAGCCCTGGGATCACTCCACAGAGCAACAGCCCATGCTGTCATGTCCCATACTGCTATGCTGTGACCTTATACTTTCAATAGATTTGTGGGGATGTGAAGTCCCCTTTCTGAGATGGCCCCCAAGAAAAAAGCCTAACTCTTCCTTCATTTACAGTGAGTGCTTGTATTACCAGCAGGTTAAGTAATGGCCACCTGCTGGATAAATTCCATGGTCAGGTGCAGCAGGCAGGACCTGTTCCTGTGTGGTATGAAGAAGGGACTGACTGGACTTAACCCTCCTGTCAGGTTGATGGTCGTAAGAACACTAGGCAACCCAGCTGAAAACAACCCGCCCACAGGACTCCTGTAGTGGTAAAGTTCTGTCAGCTTGTGTTTTCTCCTTAAGTTTGGGTTCTAACTGTTCTCAGAATTGAGAAAGTGACTGACCAGCTGGAAGCCCTCATTGATCCTTTCGACCTGGATGTTTTCACGCCACATCTCAACAGCAACCTTAATCGCCTGGTGCAGCGCACTTCTGTAAGTCAGGTCACAGCCCATGTACAGTGTGAATAACCATGTGATTGAAGAGTCATGGGTTCAAATAAGAAAATTAGCCTGCTCCAGCATTTCGTGTCCCAGGGTGAGGCACAAATAGCTGGTGCAGTCACAAGTACTAGAAGAGGAGGGGTCATCTCACCCTGGGGCAGCCCTGCTATAGGGAAAGTTTACTGCGGTTTCACAGACCGAGCCCTGAGAGGAGTAAGAACTCCAAGGAAAGTTCATGGAGATGCTCAGTGGGCAAAGGCACTCAACACCAAGCCTGACATGAGTTCAGTCCCAGAATGCACATGGTGGAAGGAGAGAACCAAGTTCTCTGACCTCCTGTGCCGTGGTATACACATACACAGCAAGTAAGAGCAGGTTTTTTTTAAAGTTACATGGCTTTGATATTTTCACCCACACCACTAATTAAAACATAATTTTGAGATATTAATACATTCAAAAGTGCAGTCCCCAAAGTGACAGGGAGTGAGGTAGTGTGACCAACAGTGAGGCGAGTTTGGATACTCACAGTGCTCTCCTTTCCTGCCTGCAGGTTCTGTTTGGACTGCTCACTGGTACAGAGAATCAGCTTGCCCCCCGGAGCAGTACATTCAACTCCCAGGAACCCCACAACATACTGCCACTGGCCTCTAGTCAGATCAGGTAAGTGGTTCAAGAGGCTCTGCTGGGGGGCTGGAGAGATGGCTCAGAGGTTAAGAACACTGACTGAACGAAAAGTTCTTGCAGAAGACCCGGTTCGAATCCCAGCACCTACATGGCAGCTAACAACTGTCTGTAACTCCAGTTCCAGGAGATCCAATTCTTCTGTCCTCCACAGGCATTGCATGACACAGGCACACTTACCTACATGCGGGCAATACACAAATACACATAAAACTTCTAAAAACAATAAAAGAGGCTCTGCTGGGCTGAGGCTGCCTGTTCACGTCAATGAAATTTTTCCCTCTTGTGTTGGAGGTTTGGACTCCTTCCACTGAGCATGACAAGCACAAGAAAGGCCAAGGCAACCAGCAGAGGCATTGAAGCACAAGCTCAGGTTAGTGCCAAGGGTGTCCTTGCTCATCCCAGCCTCCTCTCCCACCAAGCCACCCGCTCAGCTCCCTCAGAAAGAACCATCAAGCACTGAATGACAATGCACTAATGCTGCTTTTAATGGCACAATAGAGAAGTATAAGGTTTTGCTAGCTTGAGCTAATAATACTAGTTTAAAAGATGTCCACTGACACTAGCAGGTAGCCTCAAAACAAAGGCATCCTAGACTATGAGGCTGTCAGATGGCAGCACAGGATGCAGATGGTTCTGGCTAGATCTAGAGGGGTGAAAATGTTAAGACTGCTGACCCAGCACTATGATCGCATTGGGAGAAGATCCTTTTATCCTGCAGATGATCTGGTCCCCTGTGCCTTTTACTTGGGTGGGCTATAGAAGCTGGCTCCCTTGAGTATTCCGTTTTATTAATACACATTTTGTTTCAGTAAGATGCCATCCACTGCGCCTGCAGGAGTCGTCCCGGGTATTTCTGACTTGTGCTGTGTACAAGTGTGTTTGACAGCTCGAACAGCTTCTCTTCTTACAGCATTGTTCGCTTTATTATTAGACAAAATATTAGCAATGTGTCCTTTCCCATATCCCCTGCCATCAAACCCAATTAGATCCGAAGTTCTTGTCGACTGTCTGGTTTTAAAATCTGGGAGACAGTAAAAGAACCAACTTTCCCAAACTCCACATTTTTAACACTAACTAGTTCCCACGTCTGGCCTTAACCTCTATGGCTATCAGAGGAGCACCGTGGAGAGGTGTGTGTCTCTTCCGGGCAGTCCTTGTTTGCATTCTGTCACATACCTAGTCCCTGCTCACTCCAGTCAGCGTGTCCTCCTCAAACCCTTCTTCCAGGAGCCATCCATGCTTCTCAGCCCTGCTGCCTATGTGTGTGGCCTCTGAGCGAGTCCAGTGAAATGCAGTGAAGGTGAGCAGACAGGAGGCTGCGGGTGGACTCTTAAGGCACTTCCTCTACATCTAATGGCAGGTTGGCCCCCCAGCACTCTCCAGAGTAGGCGACCCGACGCATCCTGGCTCCTTGTTCAGACAGCTCGCCAGTGAGGAAGACTCTTCTGTGCCGTCACTATTCAAACTTGGCTGGCTCTCCAGTATGACTAAGTAACATGGCAGCACACCCACTCACTAAATAAATACTTGTGCGTGGTTTTTCCTCAAGGTGCCTCTTTGTCTCTATAACACTCCACTCTTCTCAGCCCGTGATGGGACCTGGCCCCTCACCAGTTAAGCCTTGTTCTTGAGCAAGGGCAGTTGACGCTTTATCCGCCCTTACTGATGCCTTGGTTATGGGCACTGCAGGTGGAGTTTGCAGTGAGGTCAATTGAGCCACTTATACACAAGCTTGTAAGACCAAGTTATTAGGTATTTCCTGACTTTGAAAACTGCATGGTATTCTCTACTACTTCTAAGGTGTAGACTCTGGGGAATATAAAACAGGAGTTATTTGGGTATACCAGAGTCTGAAAGACATTCTCCCTGGAAATACAGATATATATATGACAAGAGAGCGTAACTTGGGAGGCTGCTTCACTTCTGGTCTAGATGGGATGATAGTTCTGTTACAGTAGAGGACATTTTCCACAGACATCTACATACTAAGAGGTAGTATGGCAGTTCATTTCAGTGCAAGACTGAATCAAGCTTCCTGTGTTTGGGGAGAAAACTTATGTTTCTTTCATGGAAACTAGATACTCTAATAGTTTATTGGATTAAAAAATTGAAGATCCTGCATTTCTAAAGAGCCTTTTACATCAAGTAGACATTCTCATTGCCAGAGTGGAAGTCATCTGAACTGGACACAGATGAGACTTCCTCAGCCCACTGCCTTGACACGAATCCAGTACCCTCCCTCAGAAGAATGCTATAAAAATTGCTCCAAAGCCCCTTTGAAATGGCAATAGTGCAGCAAAACCACAAGTAAACAACTGCCTGTCAGCCTGTTATTTCAAATATAGACTAAAAAGCCAACAGGCATTTCTTTTTTCTGTGTGCAATTTCTAAAAACAAATCATTAAGTTGAAATATCAAATCTGCACAGTGCTGTCCCTTCACAGAAGGCAAGAAACTGCCGGCGTGTCATGTGGGAGGCCGTCCTCGGTGCTGTAGGCTGTGAAAGTGGGCCTCCCTCAGGGTCTGATTGATGTGGAAGTAAGGGCCTTGGCACAGTGCAGACTGCTCAGCCACCGGCTGGGGGGTGCTGGGGCAGGATCCAGGGAAGGCCTGGCTCAGGCTGTTCTCTGGCCCACTGGCCCTGTCCGGGCTGTTGATGCTACTGCTGCTGCTGCTGCTGCTGCTGCTGCTGCTCCCACCACTGTCACTGCTTGAAGACTGGAAGGAAAAGGAAAAGCCAAGGTCACATCAGCTTGCCTTGCTTCATGAAGACTTTGCTAGGGCTCACAATGTGGCGACCTATTCAGAGTCCTCTTCCTAACAGCTGGATTCAGTTCCACTATGCACGGACACCATATTTTCATCGCCCACTCATAAGCTACACTTCTAAGCTATTTCCTGGTTATTGTGAAAAGAGCAGCAATAAACAGATGTGTGAGTATCTCTGGTAGGCTATGGAAGCCTTTGTATATGCCCAGGGGTACTACAGGGTCATATGCAAAGAAAAATGAAATTAAGTATTTTGCCTGAAAATGGGTGAATATAGAAATTATTATATCCAGCAAGTTATTCCAGAGTCAAAATCAAATACACAGTTCTGTCACATGTGAATTCTAGTCTCTTAAGTTTTTTAAAAAATATTATTTTTATTTTATGTGTATGAGTGTATTGCCTGCATGTATGTGAGTGCACCCATGTCGTGCAATACTGCGAAGAGGGCTTTGGGGATCCCTGGAACTGGAGTTAAGGACGGTTTGTAGCCACCATGTGGGTGCTGGGAATAGAACCCAGGTCCTCTGCAAGAGCAGTCAGTGCTCTTAACCGCTGAGCCGTCTCTCCAGCCCCTTTAGTCTCTAATTTTTCAAAGTGTGTTTATGTCAAGTGAGTGGCCATGAAACAAAAAAGGGGACCATGAGAGGTGAAAAGGAGGCTTCCTGAAGAGGGGTGGAGTGAGAGATAATGAGATGGGAAGATGGGAAGGGACTCCGAGGTAGGAGAAGAAACAGCTGAGACAATACAGACAAATGCCATGAACCCATTACTTCCTATGCTGATTCTATAAGTAAACAGATTAATTTAAAAAATCAAAATCTTAAGCCGGGCGTGGTGGCACACGCCTTTAATCCCAGCACTTGGGAGGCAGAGGCAGGCAGATCTCTGTGAGTTCAAGGCCAGCCTGGTCTACATAGCGAGTTCCAGGATAGCTGGGGCTACAGGGAGACCCTGTCTCAAAAAGACCAAAAAAAAGAAAAAGAAAAGAAAAATCAAAATCTTACTATTCCCCAGGAGCAGAAACAGCATGAGCAGGAACCCTGGGCTGCCAGGTTCACAGGAGCTCAGCAGGGGCACTTTAAGATACACCCTTCATCTTTGTCATCTTTGTCTTAATGCCTTACATATCTGCTTACCCATTCCAACTGTGTCCAAGATCAAGGTGGTTCTCGCTGGGCGTGATGGCAAACGCCTTTAATTCCACCACTCAGGAGGCAGAGGCAGGCAGATCTCTGAGTTCCGACATGGAGGCACACACTTAGAATCTCACGAGGAGGTAGAGACAGGATCTAGCCTACCCTTGAGTCTGAGGCCAGTGAGATCCTGCCTCAAAAAGTGGACAGTGGTGTCAGTGTCAATGAGACCTCTGCAGACTCAAGCAGACAAAAACCCAGCACACAACTGTGGAAATGGACAGCAGGCCCCAATCTTAGTGGAAGAATTACTGGCAGCTGATGACTGCTGGGTGAGGGAGAGCCAATCTTCTTAAAGGGAGGGGCTCTACATAGGCTGACTAAACCCCGGTAGATGAACTTGCACTGAGAGACATCTGAGGACACTAACTTGACATGACAATCCTTAACACAAATGACAGAATGTATGAATTCCAGTGGAGGAGTTATAGGAGGGCCAATGGGGAAGGAGGTATAAAGATGATTAAGAGACAAAATCAAAGTGGTTCTCAAAGGGCGTGGTTAGTCCCAGTACTTTGGAGATAGGCAGGCAGATCTCTGAATTCAAGGCCAGGCATAGTGAATCCAGGCCAACTAGCTACAGGGAGACCGTCTCAAAAAGACAAAAAAAAAAAAAAAAAGATAATTAAGATGTTCTATATGAAATGCATAAAAATTCAATAAAATTTTTTTAAAAACCAAAGTGGTTCTCAGTTTCAAGGCTGAGACAGGTATGAAAAAGGCTGGTATAGGTATATAAAAGGTATCTCCCCACCAATCCACAAAAATAAGGTGTTCCTTTAACAAGGTAAACTCTGGATCCAAGAGGGCTGAAAATCTGCCAATTCTGTCAACTCATCCTGTACACAAAATGATGACCTACAGCCACTTAGGACACAAAACAGACTTACAAAGTTCTGTTGGCAACTTTGCAGTTCAATACAGTCAGGTGCGCATGACTGTGCTGAGTTCTTTAACACAACCTGTGTTTTGCTTATCTTACAGAAGCTACTCATAAGTCCCTGATCAAAGCAAATCACTCAAGTTGACAAGTTTACAACTACAACTATCCTGGAAGGAATCAAAGCATGAGGAAGGGTTTGAATCATGAGGTGGTATAGAATCTTCTTGTAAATTTGGCCCTTTGCTATATCCAATTTATGTTCCCTTTCACAGAGGCATATGTTTTGAAATATTTTTATAACTATGTAAAGTCTACACACAAAAGACTGGAAAGAAACCAGACTACAAGAGTTGTTAGAATGAAAGGATCATACTTGCATATTTTTCTATCACTTACTATCACTTTTTTGTAATGGAGTTATTATTTCCATTATGAAAATAGGTATATAAAAACTTTCCAGATATGTAATTTTTTTGGTTTGGTTTGATTTTTCTGAGAGTTTCCCTGTAGCCCCAACTGGCCTGGAACTCACATTGTAGACCAAGCTGGCCTCAATCTCACAGAAATCCACCGGGCTCTGCCTCTTGAATGCTGGGGTTAAAGATGTGTGCCGCACCATGCCTGGCACAGAAATAACATACTTTTAAAGTTGGTTTTTTTGTTGTTTTTTTTTTTTGGTCTTTTTGAGACAGGGTCTCCCTGTAGCCCCAGCTGTCCTGGAACTCACTATGTGGATGCCCAGCAACATTTGTTAAAAGGTACACTTCTAGCTCGCTAGTGGGGTGGGATTTGTTTGTGCTAGTTTTTTAAGACAGGGTCTCACTATATAATCTAGGCTGGCCTGTAATATTCAGCAACCCTCCTGCCCCTACTTCCCAAGTACGGGATTACAGGTGTAAGGTGTGTACAACCATATTTTGTTTTTTTTTCCCCAAGTTTATTTTTAAGTCTTATAACCCAACTTATAATGACATGGATAATAATGTCTAATGTAGCCTTATTTGTACTGGCTAAAAAAAAATTACAATTTAAACATCTAATAACAAGTTAATTATAATGCATCCATTTCATGTATACATACCACAAAATTATACTCAGTCATTACCAATAACACTCGAAATGTGCGTACTCTAATTAGACAGACGTCTTTAACATCTTTTTTTTAGTTTATACTAAACCCTATATAGTGTATAACCTGTGTTTTAAAATCCTTTTCTTTACTGTATGTACATGTGTACATCAAAAGTCTAAAAAGATACATTTGACAGGCATTTAGAATTTGGATCTTATATTTTATTTTTAGTTACTTTACTTCCAAAAGCTTCTAACCAAAACTATTTTGAGGCAAAAAAAAGTGATCATGAGTAAAGAATGCTATTATAAAACAGAGTAAGAAAGCTGGAGAGATGCTCAGCAGTTAAGAGCACTGACTGCTCTTGCAGAGGACCTGGGCTCGAGTCCCAGAACCCACATAGCAGCTCAACTGTCATTAACTCCAGTTCTGGGGGATCCAATGCCCTCTTCTGGCCTCTGTGCACGCTGCATACATGTGGTACACTTACATATATGCAAGCAAAACACTCATACACATAAAAACATCTTTGAAAAAATAAAGGAAAAGCTCCTGGCTTCTACATAAAAATTCTTTTTTTCTGGGGCTGGAGACATGGCCAGTGGTTAAAAGCATTGGCTGTTCTTGCAGAAGACCCAGGTTCAACTCCCAGCACCCATATGGTGGCTAACAACTGTCCATAACTCCAGTTTCAAGGAACCTGACGCACTGCACAACACAGGTGCATTTACATACGTGGAGGCATAACACTCATACACATAAAAATAAATCAAAAAAATTTTTTTCTGGTTGGATAACCTCTCACCGGGAGAGCAAATCTCTTACCAAGGACTTCCTTCACCCCCTCCAGAGGAAAAGAAGAAACAGGAATGCCTGGAGCAAAACCCAGGTGCCTACTTAGGGACATGAAGGCCCAGGATGCTTTAAAGTCACCAGGTCTTTAGCCACACAAAAAGGTAGTTTTGTGTGCTGCCTGTCCCACTGTCCTTGGCCAGCCCACAGAGTTGAAATGCAAGGCTTCCCACAGTTAGAAACTTAAAATGAAAATACCCTGAACCAAAGTGAATGGGAAGCCACCCCAAAACACATTTCATTATTTTAAAAAAAGCCTATAGGCCCACAAGGCAGCTCAGCAGGTAGAAGGGCTTGCCACCAAGCCTGCCAGCCTAGATCCCTAGAACCCACGTGGTAGAAGAAAACTGATTCCTGTAAGCTGGCCTGTGACTTATATACAAGTATGCATATACATGTGCCTGAATAGACACACACACAATAAATGTTTAAAAAAGAGGTAGGAGGAAGCTGGCATGGTGACATGGGTCTATAATCCTAGCATTGAGGAGGTAGAAGCAGAGGGATCAGACAGTCAGCCTCAGCTACATAACCAGCTCGAAATTAGCCTCTATATAAGACCCTAGCTCAGAAAATCAAAACCCACAAAAGGACTAGTGTTTCTTCAACTTGTAATCACTTACATGGAGCAGATCAACACACTGTAAATAGGAGCACATCTGTATGGGGTCCAGGCAATGTGCTCTGTGTGTCTGGGTGTGTTGGTCTTTTGAGACAGGGTCTCCCTATAGCCTCAGCTGGCCTGGAACTCACTATGTAGAGGAGGCCGGCCTTGAACTTACAGAGATCCGCCTACCTCTGCCTCCCAAGTGCTGGGATTAAAGGCATGCACCATGCCCCCCCCCCGGGGGGGGGGGAGTTGGTTAGGCCAGCCCAGGCCAAAGAGCAAAACTCTCTCTCAAAAATAAAAACAAAAATAAAACACACAGAGAGAACAATCTGTCTC